GTGTGGTTGACCTGAAGATCCACCACGCAGTCCATCGAGCGTTTCGCCTCCATCAGGTTGTGCCAGAGGTTGGCCACGGGCCCTGGTGCCAGCAGGGGTGGCTCAGAGCCCGCCAGCTCTCAGGACCCCACTGGGGGGCACAGGGACATTGGGGGGACCCTACCGTGGTAGATGGCGGCGAAGACAAAGGAGAGAACGTAAAGCCGACCCTCTTTGCCCAGGAACTTGGGGACCATGAGCAGGTTGGCACAGCGGAAGTGGGGGGATGTGGCCCAGCCCAAGGCAGTCACCCCTGTGGGGAGCAGAGAGCTGACCCCACGGTCCCACAGAGAACCCCCTGGGTCTCCCGATGGCCCCCCATCACCCCAGTCCCCTCCCTGCCACATCCTCACCCGTCAGCCCCCAGGTAAGCTTCACCCTGTATGACTCCGACAGGTCCAGAGGCATGATGAGCAGCTGGCAGAGTCCTGAAACACCCAACAATGTGTCCTGAGCTCCCGGTGCCACCGGCTCCATGGCGTGCCCGGCAGCGGGACACACTCACCGAGGCTGAGGAGCATCCCGAAGCCAGCGCCCAGGAAGATCTTGCTGCAGCGGTGCTCGGCCGGCCGGCTCCAGAGGAACCGGCTGCACGGGCCGGGCAGGACCGCGACCACCACTCGCTTCAGGGCTGGGTGGGGAGGGAGGTGTCAGCCCTGCCTGCTCCCACTGCCGCTCAGCCCCGGCCAGGAGCAGGGTGGGAGGGGATCTCACTTGTGTTGGGACGTTTCTTCCTCCTGCGTGTCTCTGTCCCAGCCGAGGGCTCTTCCTGGAGCTGAGAATGGTGGGATGCTGCCCTAGAACCAACACCAGTACTGTCATGGCGTTCTCCACGTTCTGTCACGTTCCCTGATGGAACGGGAACACGGTGGGAAGGGCTGGGTGGCCACCGAGCCACCACCTCCCGCAGCTCGCTGTCCTTGCTCTCAGCCTGCTCCTTGTAGTCAAGCATCTCCTCATCGCTGGAGTCCCTGTGGGGGGAGAGAAGAGAGGGGTGAGCTGCAGCCCCCCCACACCCACTGCAGCCCCCAGGCTCGAGTGGGCTCCCAGCACCCCTCTGCTCACATCTCCTCGTCCACAGAGTCCGGGTAGTTGAGGGTGGCCATGCAGACAGAGCAGGTGTTGTTCAGGGCTCTGGAGCACTCCCTGCAATACAACCCTGAGGAAAACAGGACCGTCAGAGGGGACACAGCATTTTCTGGGGAGGGGATCCCCAAGCTAGAGGGGCTCCTACCTCTGCAGCTGGGCGTGATGCAGGCGCTGAAACCCGGCTGCTCCACCGCCCCACAGGCCAGGCAGTGTTTCTGCTGGATGCCAAAGAAGCGAGAGAGGCGGGCAAGGACAGGGAACCTGAGGGCACAGGGTGATGCTCCATGGGGCAATGCCATCCTGGTTGTCCTTGCCACGGACCCCCAAGGATGCTGCTGCCCTTTTCCATCCCTTGTGAGAGCTTACCTGGAGATGAGGATGAAGAAGAGTTTGCTTTTCCTACCATCATCCGTGCTCTGTGTGCCACTTGAGCGCAGGGCAAGTGCCATCCACTCCCGCCGTGCCAGGATGATGTTGTGGAGGAAGATCATGCGCTCCTGGCATGGAGGGGATGTGGTGAGGGCAGGCGGCTGCTGAGGGGGTGTAGAGTGGGACATGCACACACGGGGGGCTTCTCACCTGCTCACGGGACGGGTAGTAGGCGGCACACACTGCCTGGCGCAGGCGTGCCATGTAGGAGCCAAAGATGGTGATGAAAAGCCAGAGACCGTACAGGATTCCTGGTGGGAAGAAGACAAGTCACGTAGGGGCAGCCCCCTTGCACCCCCCCACCCACCTGGGTTGCTGAGGGTGCAGCCCCCCTGTCTGCACACCGATGGTAATGTAGGTGTTGTGGTCGGGTTCCATGGGCTCGATGAGGCAGGCCTGGGACAGCACCGAGACCTTGCCCTCCTGCAGCGCGTTGAAGGCAGACACCAGATCCTGGAAGATCTCGCTGGTGTAGCCCGTCCCGTTGACGCTGACAGCCACTGTCGATGGCGCTGCGGGGCGAGAGCAGCTCAGTCCTGCGGTCACCCCAAAGCCCCAGCCCCCGTGGGTGCTGCTCCAGTGCAGTGGGTGCTGCTCCGGTGCAGTGGGTGCTGCTCACCCCTGGCAACGATCTCCGCGCTCAGCTGGTGCCGGAACAGGTCAAGCAGCCAGAAGATGCTGTAGTCGGCCAGGATGATGCTGAAGCCCAGCAGCACGTGGCGCAGCAAGCCCATCAGCTGAATGCCATACTGCCGCCTCTCTTTCTTTGACAGCCACAGCGCGGCTGGATGGCCACGAGAGCACCATGAGGCCGTGCCAGGAACCCCCGGCTCCTCATGAAGCCGTGCCAGGAACCCCCGGCTCCTCATGAAGCCATGCCAGGAACCCCCGGCTCCTCGCCGCGCTCAGGGCTGGGCTGGAGGACACCCCCCGGGGCGGGGCTGACCTGGGGGGATGTAGCGGCCCCTCTCCCGCGCCGTCAGGGGCAGCACGGTGGGTCTGCCCTGCTCCGCCCGCCGCAGGTCCAGCTCCACGAAGCGCCGCGTGATGTAGACGTTGTCGAAGGTGTCGTCCCACAGGTAGCGGCGCCGGTACCACATCGCGCTGGGGACACGGCGGGCAAGCTGAGCACCGGCACAACGGGTGCCCGTCCCCAGAGCAGCACCCCCGCCCACTCACTGGAAGCACAAGTAGAGGATGGCCCAGAAGGAGATGTAGGAGAAGACCTCCAGGCCGTGGTGGTAGGGCTCCAGGTGGAGCTGCACGGCCTCCATTATGTCCCGGGACACCTGCCCCAGGCTCTTGCTGGCGTTGAGGCTGACGTTGAAGTGGTGCACGACCGAGATGTTGAACTCAAACTCCCGGCGGATGTGGTTCAGAGCGTCCGTGATGGCTGCAGAGGCGACAAGAGGCTGTGCTGGGGTGGGGAGCAAGAGCCAAGAGGGGCTCCTGGCCCCCCACGGCACCGGGATACTCACGGGCTGCGACGTTTGCCCGGACGAACTCCTGGATATACTGTGGGATGATGCAGAATAAGCCGGCAACTGCAGAGAGGGGGGATCTCTGTTAGGGTGGGGCCCTCATGACGGACACAGGTCCACCCCACTGCCCCTGAAACCCCCCATTGCAGAGGGACAGGAACTCACCAACATCAGCCACGTTGCAGAGCCACTTGAGGACGACGTAGCAGATGAAGAAGAGGAGGGGGAGGGCGCGCTCGCAGTCGTCCTTGGCCTTTTCGATGGCGCGAACGCAGCTCTGGTAGGGTGACCCCAGCTCCTTGTTGCAGACGTCACCGACCTTCGACAGCCACAGCCAGACGTTGTGCAGGATCCGGGCTGTGGGCAGGGAGTGGGTGTTGGAGAAGGGGGTGGACTGAGATCAGGGTGGGGGGTGCTGGAGCTGGGCAGACCCTTGGGGGCCTTGGGGACCCCGCTCACCGATGTGTCTGGTGGAGCCCATGATGGAGCGGACGAACTTGCGGACGCGGTCGCTCACCACCTTGGCATTCTGGCCAATGTCCTTGATCTTGTTCTGCAGGTCTGCAGAGAGGGGGGACCCCTGAGCACACCCCGAGGGGCGAGAGTAGCCCAGGGCTGGCTGGGGCTCCCCCAGGAAGGGCCCCTGCAGTCCCCTCGCCTCCCCCCAGCCCCCTGCTCACTCAGCAGTGGCTCCTTGGCGCGTTCCAGCCGCTCGGCCGTCTGGTTTTGGGCCAGTTCAGCCCCACATGACAGCGCCTTGGCGAGCTGGGAGACGTTGTTCAGGACATTGGTGCCAGGGCCCTGCACGGTCATGCACAGCGCCAGCATCACGATCAGAATCTTCCCCTCCCCTGCAGAGACAGGGAAATCCTGGGGCTCAGCTGGGAGCTGACACCCCCCTGGCACCCCCCAGCTCCCCGACCCACGGCTGCTCACTGGTGAAGAAGTGTGGCAGTGCCAGCAGCACGATCATCCGCGTGTTCCTGGAGAAGGCCATGCCCAGCCCCAGCCCTGCTCCCAGGATGATGGTGATGCACAGGCAGTACCAGACATCGTGGCCCTGCACCAGCAGCACCAGTGCCCCATAAATGCTGGCCAGAGCCAGGCCCAGCACGAGGGCGCCGACACTGCGGGCAAACTCCAGTGCCTGGCTCGGCTCCTCTGGATGGCGCCTGGCCCGAGGCCGCGGTGCCGGGTTCTTGCCCCGGCCCTTCTGCTGCCGCAGGGCTTTGCACAACCCCGAGACCAGCACCATGCTGAGGCTCCTGCTGCTCCTCTAGCTCCCTCTCCTTGGGATAAGAGCAGGCAGAATGAGCAGATTCCAGAGCGCCACTTCCAGGGCACCGTTGTCGGTTCCCACATCACAACCTTTCCGTTGGAACACTCCAGTGCTGTCGGTTCCTGCATCACAAGGGTGCTGCTCACCCTGATGTACGGCTTCCAAACAGAGAAATTCTATTTAACACGTGTCAGAATTGCAGGTCTAATAGGCCTCAGTACCTGCAGCTGTAGAGGGAAGAAACTTGAGCCAATACATCAATGGGAACCAAGGCCAGCAGAACGCTGAACCAACAGACCAGGGACACTTGGCCACACAACCATGAGATGATGACGAAGAAACAAAGCCAACCACCAATTCAAAGGGCAGACTGGGTAATTCCAGCAAGAGGTGATCATGGCCACCGAGTCAAAAAACCCACTGACTCAAAAGAAGGAGAAAACTGAGCATGTGGCCTAATTAGCACAAGAAGTGAGAGGATCATTGAACCAACAAGATAAAATACTAACTAATGAGGAACCACGTAACTTGTAGCCCATGAACATTTAATTCCTGTTTGCTGAAGTGCAGAAATAGTGACCAGTTTTGCTGGTCGGGGGCTGCATTGGGGATTGGCCCCCAGCACTGCCTGCACGGAACTGGAAATGAATCAAACTCCTCGGCTCAGGATCTCAAATCAAATCAAAGCGAATCGAAGCAAGATCAGCTTCTTGCACATCAACGGAAGGAGCCTGTTCTTGCACATCAACGGAAGGAGCCTGTTCTGGGACAACACTTTAGTGACCCAGATGGGGCAGCCATAAAGCCTTGCCCACACCATCTTCCTGCCCCTGGCAATGAAGAATTGGATTAGGCAGGAGTCCTGCAGCGCCTCGGGCTGCGAGCGGTGCTGGAGGGAGGGGGGCAAGTCATGGCTCATCAGCAGCCCCCCGGCCCCGGCCTCTCCCAGCACAGCAGAGAGGAGGGGGCCCAGGCAGTAAAGGCTGTGACCCCTCATGAAGTGGGGTCTGTGGGGGCGTCTGCTGGGGGTAGGGATCAGATATGGGGGGAAGAAAGAGGGTGTAGAGAGGATGGAGGTGGGGGTCTTCTGAGGTGGAGGTGGAGGGTGTGGTGTGCAGGTAATGAGGGTGGGGGTCTCCACTGCCTGGGATGATGAAGATGGAGGTCTCCAGTGCATGAGGTGATGAAGGCAGCGGTGTCTGGAGTACGGGATGGTGAAGGTGGGGGTCTCCACAGCCCTGGGGGATAAAGGTGGGGGTCTCTGTTGTACAGGGGGATGAAGGTGGTGGTCTCCAGAGTACAGGCAGATGAAGGGGGGCGTCTCCAGAGCACGAGATAGTGAAGGTGGGTGTCTCTGCTGTCCCGAGGGATGGAGGTGGGGGTCTCCACTCTATGAGGTAATGAAGGCAGGGGGCTCCGCTGTCCTGAGGGATGCAGGCGGTAGCCTCGGAACGAGGAAGGCAGGGGTCCCACCCGCAGCATCACCACCGGGGTCTCCGTCACGGCACCCCCGCGCATCACCAGCCACTGGCAGCGCACACAGAACCCACCCCGTCCCCGACCCGGGCTGGGCGGTGCCGGCAGAGCGGAACGGGGGGAACGGGGCCGGGCGGGAAGTTCCGCCCCCGGGGCCGAGCCGGGCGGGGCTGGTGGCGGTGCCGGTGCCGGGGCCATGCGCGGCGGGAGCCGGCGGGGGCGGCCGCGGCGGGGCATTGCGGGGCCGCCGGCCCGGGGGGGCCACGGGGGCGATGGGGCCGCGGCTGCTCCTGGCCGCGGGGATGCTCCTCGCCGCCGGCACCGGGAGCAGCGGCAGCGCCGCAGGTGAGCGGGGAACGGGGGTCCGGGGGTGGAGGGGTGGGTCGGTCGGGACCGCACCTCGCCCCCCCGTCGGGGCATCGCAGGGGTATCCGCGGGGAGCCGCCGACTGGGATGGTATCGGGGGTCGTAGCCCCTCTGGAAGCTCGGTGCCCCTCCCTGGGACTCTCGGTGACCGCCCCCGAGGACGCTCGGTGCCACCCGGGGGACGCTCGGTGTGTGTCCCCCGGAATGCTCGGTGTGTCCTCCCCAGGACGCTCGGTGTGTCCTCCCCAGGGCGCTCGGTGTGTCCTCCCCAGGGCGCTCGGTGTGCCCCCCCGGGATGCTCGGGCCCCCCACTCCGAGGACGCTCGGTGTGTCCCCCCCGGAATGCTCGGTGTGTGTCCCCCGGAATGCTCGGTGTGTGTCCCCCGGAATGCTCGGTGTGTCCTCCCGGGGATGCTCGATGTTCCCCCCCGGGACACCCGGTGTGTCCTCCCGGGATCCTCGGTGCCCCAGTTCTCCGGCCATGGGGACCCGGCTGTCCCCAGGCTGGTGGGGCCGTGGGGAGCGGGGTCTGCATATCCTCTGACCTTCCTCCGGCATCCCCGGGCCCGGGAGGGAAGGGGTCCCTCCGGGACCTGGCGAGGGGGGGCTCTGAGTCAGCCGGGCCGGGCTCCCAGCCCTGCCCAGTCCCTCCGCTGGTTGTACTGGGCAGCTGGCCGAGGTGACGCAAGGCCTGGCCAGGGAGCCCGTTCAGTCCCAAAAACGGAGGGGTCTCCTCCAGCTCTGCTGGGAGGGGATGTGTTGGCTGCTGTGGGGTGAGTGTGGGGGTCCCCATTCCTGCTCCCCACACAGAACCCCTGCCCTGGTGGGCTGCAGTGGGTGACCATGGGGGTCCAGAATGTGATGGATGACCAGACTTTGATGAGGGTGACTGTGGGGGTCCGAGATGAAGTGGGTGACCGCGGGGGTCTGGGATGTGATGGGTGACCATGGGGGTCTGGGATGTGATGGGTCACCGTGAGGTCTGGGCTGTGGTGGGTGACACAGCGGTGACACAGAGGTGACACAGCGGCCCTGGGCCCTGTGCAGGTGACAGCTCGTGGCAGCACCGTGCAGAACCAGGACACTACTGGCACGTGACCCCGTGGGTCCTGCGGGACAACCAAAAGCTCAGCTTGCCAGAGGCGACCCAGGTGAGCCCCCACCAACTTCCCTGAGGTCCCCTATGCTTCTGACAGTGGGGGGGGGCTGCCTGCCCCCCAACACGTCCCTCTGCCCCCTTTTCAGTGCAGGACATGCAGTGTCCTGGTGCCGTGTCCCTGGAGGTCCCAGCATCCAGAAGCCAGGGGGCAGTGGGAAGGGGGGCATCTCAGCAAATTCCCCTTGCTCTCCTGATGCTGGGAGGGACCTTTTTGGGCCGGGGTACCCACCCTGAGCCCCTCCCGGCTGGGGAGGAAGGGCCCATCCCACCCCGTGGCCGTTGGGAGTCTCTCCGACGCTTCCGCTGCGCTGCACCGGGCAGGAAGCGCGGGGGGACGGGGTGGGGGCCCCGCTCTGTCCAACCCCCCCTTCCCCAGCACAATGAGCCCGGGAGGGAGGGACATTTCCTGCAGGGAGTGAGGGTGGGGGCCGGGCTGGGCAGGGGATCCCTTCCGACCTCTCCCTCCGGGCACGTGCCAGGGCCAGGCAGGTCCCCCAACACCCCGCGGGGTCACGGTGCTTCTGAGGGTGTGTGGGGATGGGGGGAACACACAGCTTGGGGCAGGGGGTCCCCCCCTAACCATGGCCTGTGGCAGGAGGGGTTCCCCACCCAGCTGAGAGTCCTGCTGGAGCTGGAGGGGATGAGGCTGGTGCTGGAGCTGGAGCAAAACTGGTGAGTCTGCTGCTCTGGGGCAGAGCAGGGATGGGAGTGGGAAGGGGGTCCTGGACCCACGCAGGGTGGGGGTCCTGTCCCCATCCATGGTGCACCTGGAATGGGGGTCCCTTATTCCTTGTCTCCATCCATGGCACGGGTGGGTTGGGGGTCCCGGGGTACACCTGCAGCAGGATGGGAGGTACTGGGGTCCCCGATGTGTGCTCAGGGCAGGGTGAGGGGGTCCCTGCTGTGGGGTGACACGAGTCTCTGGCAGGGAGCTGGTGCAGGGCAAAGGGGCGCTGCTCTACTACCTGCCCAACGGCATGTGGGTGATGGAGGAGCCCAGTGAGGAGGTATGGCTCAGGTGTGATGGTCTCCTGAGGTGTCCCCGAGCTGTCCCCATGCCCCAGGGGGACCCCAGCTTGGGGCTGGATTCTGAGCCCCCTCTCTGCTGCAGGAGAACTGCTGCTACCAAGGGACAGTGCAGGGCTTCCCTGACTCCTGGGCCAACCTCTGTGCCTGTGCCGGACTCAGGTGAGGCCCCGAGCACGGTGGTCTGTGAGCCCACTCCCACTGTGCTGCTGGTGGAGCAGGCTCCATCTCCCAGCTCTTCTCCCCTTCCCCAGTGGCCACCTCCAGCTGTCAGAGACCAGGAGCTACGAGCTGGAGCCAGACAGCGACCCCTCAGAGCAACACCTCGCGTTCCGTCCGTGGGTGGTCCGGGTGGCACCACGGGCCTGTGGGCAGGACCCCCTGAACCCCCGCCCCAGGGCAGAGGTGACAGAGCCTCCCAGGCCACAGAGGGTAGGTCACCCAGGGGGGTCTTGCCCCACGGGGAGGGTCCCTGTATCAGCACTCTGACCCCGCTCTGTCCCCAGGGCAAGCGGGCAGCAGCAGAGCAGCGGTTCGTGGAGCTGGTGATGGTGGTGGACCACGCTGCGGTGAGTGCTGGGCAGTGTGCTCAGAACAGGGGCTGCCCCCTCCCCAACCACCCCCTTGACCCCTGTCCCTGTTCCCCCAGTTCCAGAATTACCCCAACCTCCAACGTGTTCGCGTCCGGGCCCTGGAAATCGCCAACCAGGTGGACGTGGTGAGTCCCCCTCGGGTCTGTCGATCCCAGCCCCGTGCCCACTGCGATGCCAGGGGTCTCTGACCCCTCTGTGCCCCCCCAGTTCTTCCGGCCGCTGGGCGTACGGGTGGTCCTGGTGGCGGTGGAGGTCTGGAGCGAGGGCGACAGGATCGCGGTGGGCAGCAGCGCCCGGGCGGCGCTGGAGCGGTTCCTGCGCTGGCGCCAGGAGGAGCTGCTGCCCCGGCTGCCCCACGACAACGCACAGCTCCTGACGTGAGTGGGGGACAGGCTGGGGACGGGGGATGAGGCCGTGGCAGCCCCCCGACCCCTGCGCTCTCTCCCCCAGGGGTGCCCGCTTTGCCGATGTCTCGGTGGGGATGTCGACTCAAGGCTCCGTGTGTTCCCCCGCGCGCTCCGGGGGGGTCAGCATGGTCAGTACCCCCGTCCCCTCACCCCGTGGTCACCCCACCTGCACTTCTGACCCCCCCTCGTCCCACAGGACCACTCAGTCAGCTTCCTGGTCGTTGCCTCCACCGTGGCCCATCAGCTGGGGCACAACCTGGGCATGCGCCACGACAGCCCCGGGCGCTTCTGCTACTGCAGCGACCTCCAGCACGACCGCGGCTGCATCATGGCATCGCCCACGGGGTGAGGGCAGCGGGCAGGGCTGTGGGGGGGCCGGGGCTGAGCCCCCTACCCGCCTCACCATCCCCTACACGGCTCTGCAGGCTGACACCCGGCTTGAGCTTCAGCAACTGCAGCCGGCAGGACCTGGAGCGCAGCCTGCAGCAGGGCCAGGGCTGGTGCCTGTCCAACGTGCCCAAGCCCCAGCTCCCGTTTGAGAGCCAGGACTGTGGGAACTTCATCCTGGAGGAGGGCGAGGGCTGTGACTGCGGCCTCAGCGTGGTACAGGGGGCTCCGGGAGGGCTGGGGTCCCCTTGTGCCCAGGGGTGTCCAGGGCTGGCAGGGTGGGTTCCAGTGCCCGGTGCCGGTGCCACCCGCTGACCGCAGCCCCTCTGCCACAGGAGTGCACGGATCTCTGCTGCAACAGCAGCTCCTGCCAGCTGATGCCAGGGGCCGCGTGTGCCACGGGGGACGCCTGCTGCCAGGACTGCCAGGTGCGTGGGGACGGGCACCCACGGCCACTCCCCACGGTGGGCGGGTCCCCCACTCACTTGGGGGGGTCCCTGTTTGACCGTGCCCCCCCTGCAGCTGCGCCGTGCTGGGTACCTGTGCCGGGAGCCGCTGGGGGAGTGTGACCTGCCCGAGTTCTGTGACGGGGTCTCACCGCACTGCCCACCCGACACGTTCCTGCAGGACGGGCAGCCCTGCGCCGGCGGGCGGGCACGCTGCTACAGCGGGGCCTGTGCCACCTACGAGGGGCAGTGCCAGCAGCTGCTGGGGACAGGTATGGCGTGTCCAGGGTGGGGGGCCAGGGGCAGGGTGGGGGTGCTGAGGTTTGTTGTTCCTTGCTGCAGGCGCCGGCCCCGTCTCCAGCTCCTGCATGGCCACCCTGAATGCCAGAGGGGATGAACGTGGGCACTGTGGGCAGCTCCCCAACGGCTCCTACATCGCCTGCGCCCAGCAGTGAGTGATGTCCCCATCCCTTGCCATCTCCCCCTCGCCATCCCCCCTGGCCTGACCCCTCTGTCCCCACAGGGATGCCCCCTGCGGGATGCTGCAGTGCCAGCGCGGCAGCACCCGTGGGGACAAACCAGGAGGGTCCTGCCAAGGGACCCCCCTGCCTGCAGACGAGGATGTGAGTGATGCAGCCATGGTGCTGCCCGGCACTGCCTGCGGCCCCGGGAAGGTGAGTACCAGGGCAGCAGGGAAAGGGCTGGGGGGTCTTCAAATACTGACCCCTCCAATCCCCCGCAGATGTGCCTCCAGCGCCGGTGCCAGGACATCTCCGTGCTGGGTGACCAGCAGTGCCAGAGCAAGTGCCATGGGCACGGGGTGAGTGCGGGGCCGGGGAGCGGGTGGTGGGGGTGGGGACCTGCCCTGCGGGGGTGCTGAGCTGGGCCGGTGTCACCCACCCAGGTGTGCAACAACCACGGGCACTGCCACTGCGAGCAGGGCTGGGCCCCCCCGACCTGCGAGAGCCCCGGCACGGGGGGCAGCCAGGACAGCGGCCCCGCCGGCCTGGAGCGAGGTGAGGGAGGAGAGCGCAGAGAATGGGGCTTTGTGCCGGCTGTGGGGGGGTGACGGGCCACGGCGGGGGCTGACGTGCCACTGTGCCACTCTCCACAGGGGGGAGTGCCCTGCCCACAGCCCTGCTGGTGAGCGCCCTGCTGGGGCTGGCGCTGGCACTGGGGCTCTGCTGCGCCCGCCGCGCCGGCCTGCACAAGCACCTCTGCCAGCTCGGCAAGGGCACCTCCTGCCAGTACAGGTACTGGGGATGGGGGACATGCGGGGGGGAATGTGGGGGGCACATGGATGTTGGCAAACATGCCTCTGCACGCGTGTGCCGAGGCACACAGGTGGCACACGGATGGCATGCTAACTTCTGCATGCATGTGCTGTGGCACGCAGGTAGCACAGATGGCATGCTCACTTATGCACGCGTGTGCCGTGGCACGCAGGTGGTGCACACACCTCTGCATGTATGTGCTGTGGCGCACAGGTGGTGCACACCCCTCTGCATGTCTGCGCTGTGGCGCACACGCCTCTCTGTGCATGTGTTGTGGCACACATGCCCCCGCATGCCTGTGCTGCGGTGCCACGCAGGTGCCACGCTCGCCTCTGCATGTGTGTGCCATGGCAGGCACCAGAGCCCCCTGCATGTGGTCACGTGTGCGTGTAGCGTGTCACTGGGGTGTGTGCATGTGCGCTCACACGTGTGTGTCCCCAGGGCGGCCGACCCAGCGCTGCGCACGCGTGTCCCCCGCACATGTGACAGTCCACGCGTGTTTGCGTGTGCGTCCCCAGCACAGGTCACAGCCCCGTCGTGCATCGTCGCCCCACGTCCCCTCCCACCGCTGCTCCCCCCCAGCCCCCGGGCTGAGCCCCCCACTCTTCTCCCCACAGTGCTGAGACCCGGGTGCGGTTCCTGGGTCCCGGAGCCGCCGACGGCTGGAGCGGGTAACGTCACCGCCGGCGCCCGGGCGTGGGGCTGTCCCCGAGCTGTCCTGCTTCGCAAGGCCTCCGGTGCTGCGCTCTTCCCCTGGCAGTGCCCGCAGGGTGTGGGGCAGCCCCCAGGGCGCAGGGGTGTCTCCTCTTCCAGCGCCGAGGGGTTCGTTTCTCTTGGGCTTCTGCTGGTGTTTCGGTGTGGCTCGGTCGCCGTGCGGGGTCCCCGCGAGTGCCCGGAGCGAGCGGGGTCTCATCCTACCTCTTCCCTGCAGGATCTCGCAGCCAGAGCCCCCGTCGGGCAGCCGGGTCCCCCCCGCGCGCCCCCGGCCCCCGCAGTGGCGTCAGGCCACGGAGCTGCAGGCCATGCGTGGCAGCAAGGTGAGGATGGGGGGTGGTGGGGGGCAGTGGGTGCCATGGGTTCACTCCGGTCCTTGGGGTCCCACACGCCCAGGCCGCCTGGTCCCCACTCTGTGGCACCAGGAGCAGTCTGGCACGGCCACTTGGCACCGTCCGCTCACCGGGATCGGTGCCCATCCCAAGGCAGGGCTGAGCCCCGGAGCTGTGTGCTGAGGGCTGAGGGGGGGTCTCTGTCTCTGCTTGGCGGCGGGAGGGGGGTCTCCGCATGCTGCATGGCTTGTCCCCGCTCTCCCTCTCTCCGCAGCCGGCTGCCCTCGGCTCGGCCCGGCCTGACCCGCCCTCCCGGCCCCTCCCGCCGGACCCTGTGCCCAAGGTAACGCCCGGGCAGGGTGAGGGGGGGGTCCCTCAGCCTCCCCCCGACCCCACTGCATGCCTGGCTGCGCTCCAGCTCTTGGGGACTTCTGTCACACGGCTGTCCCCAAAAACCCCTCCTGCCCAGCAGGAGGCTGGTCCTTGTGCTCCCCCCGTCCCTGTGCCCCCCCCCACTCTCTCACTGTCCCCCTCTCTCTGCCCAGGCCCCCCCCTCGGACAGGCCGCCCCCCCCCACGCGCCCGCTGCCCGCAGACCCCGTGGTGCTGCCGAGCCCTCAGGTAACGGCGGCACCCGCACGTGGGGCAGGAGGCGAATTCCCACCCCCCTGAGCCCACTGAGGGGGTCAGACCTTGCTGGATCTTTGATCCCCCCGTCCCTCCACAGCCCCCGGGTCCAGCCAAGCCCCCCCCACCGCAGCGGCCGCTGCCCCTGAACCCCCCGGGCCCTTCGCTCGCCCGCAGCGAGAGCCCCTCCGGGCACCCCTATGTCACAGTGATCCCTGCCAGGTGAGCAGGGGGTGGGAGGACAGGCCTGGGGGGCCTAGGGGGGGCTGTAGGGTTTGGGGTGGTGAGGGGGGGTTGTAGGGTGCCAGGGTGGGGTCTGCAGGGTGGCCAGAGAGGGGACAGAGTGGGCAGCCAGGAGAAAGGGGGGGTGTCAGAACCAGAGCAGGGGAGGGGAGAAGGGGTGGAGGGTGTAGGTCTGCAGAGGCCAAAATGGGGTGCAGAGGGGGGAGCCAGGAGAAATGGGGTGTCAGAACTTGGGGTGAGGGGGAAAGAAGGGGTGTAGGGTGCCAGGGTGGGGTCAGCAGAGGCCAGAGAGGGGGCAGCCAGGAGAAATGTGGGGCTCAGAATAAGGGCAGGGGAGGGAAGAAGGAGTGGGGGGGGCATGGTGGGGTCAGCAGAGGTGCAGAGAAGTAAAAGGGGGTGCAGAGGGGGTAACCAGGAGAAATGGGGGGTCAGAATAAGGTTAGTGGGGG